ATGACTCTGTTCAAATTTTCTAATTATTCCTGTTTCAGTTTTGGTGGTTTGTGAGTCACTAGGAATTTGTCCGTTTCTTCCAGATTGCCCAGTTTGTTGGAATATAATTTTTCATAGTAGTCTCTTATAATTGTTTGCATTTCTAAGGTGTTGGTGGTGACATCTCTTTCATTCATGATTTGATCTATCTGGGTACTCTCTCTTTTCTTTTGGGTAAGTCTGGCTAGGGGTTACTAATTTTGTTTATTCGTTCAAAGAACCAGCATTGGGAGGCCTGGGTGGCTCAGTCAATTAAGCATCTGACTTTGGCTTGGTCATGATCTCATGGTTTGTGGGTTTGAACCCCGTGTCAGGCTCTGTGCTGACAGCTCAGAATGTGGAGCCTGCTTCAGATTCTGGGTCTCCCTCTTGCTCTGCTCCTCCCCTGCTCATGCACACTCACTCTCTCAAAAATAAACAAACATAAAAAAAAAAAACCAAAAATAAAGAACCAGCATTTAGTTTCATTGATCTGTTCCACAGGGGTTTTTTTGTTTGTTTGTTTTGGTTGTTTGTTTCTATATCAAAGCTAGAAGCATCACAATTTCAGATTTCAAAGCTTGATTATAAAGTTGCAATCATTAAGGCAGTATGGTATTGGCACAAAAACAGATCAATGGAACATAATAGAGAACTCAGAAATGGACCCACAAACATAATGGCAACTAGTCTTTCATAAAGCAGGTAAGAGTATCCAATGGAAAAAAGTCTCTTCAGCAAACGGTGCTGGGAAAACTAGAGAGCAGCATGAAGAATGAATCTGGACCAAATTTTTACACTATACACAAAAATAAATTCAAAATGGATGAAAGACACAAATGTGAGACAGGAGGCATCAAAACCCTACACAAAAAAACAGGCAGTAATCTCTCTGACTTTGGCTGCAGCAACTTCTTTATAGACGTGTCTGTGGAGGCAAGGGAAATAAAAGCAAAAAAGAACTATTGGGACCTCATTAAGATAAAAAGCTTCTATACCGCAAAGGAAACAATCAAGAAAACCTAAAGGCAACCGACGGAATAGAAGATATTTACAAACGACATATCGGATAAAGGCTTAGTATCCAAATTCTATGAAAAACTTATCAAACTCAACACCCAAAAAATCAAATAATCCAGTGAAGAAGGGACAGAAGACAAGAACAGACACTTTTGCAAAGAAGACATCCAGATGGCTGACACATGAAAAGATGCTCAACATCACTCATCATCAGGGAAATACAAATCAAAACCTCAATGAGATACCACCTCACACCAGAATGGGAACGGCTGAAACGAACAACTCAGAAAACAACAAATGTTGATGAGGATGCAGAGAAAGGAGAACACTTTTGCACTGTTGGTGGAAATGCAAAGTTGCAACCACTCTTCAAGACAGCGTTGAGTTTCCTCAAAAAATTAAAAATATAACGACCCTGTGACCCAGCAATTGCACTACTAGGTATTTATCCAAAGGATACAAAAATACTAATTCAAAGGGGAACATCCACCCCAATGTTTATAGAACCATCAGTAAGAGCCAAATTATGGAAAGAGCTCAAATGTCCATCAAGTGATGAATGGATAAAGAAGATTGGTAAATATGCATATACACAATGGAATATTACTGGGTAATCAGAAAGAATGTAATTTTGTAATTTGCAACAATGTTGATCGAACTAGAGTATATTATGCTAAGTGAACTAAGTCAAAGACAGATATCATGATTTCACTCAAATGTGCAATTTAAGAAACAAAACAGATGGACATAGGGGAAGGGAAGAGAAAATACGATAAAAACAGGGAAGGAGAGAAACCATAAGAGTCTCTCAAATACAGAGAACTGAAGGTTGCTGGAGGGGAGATGGGTGGGGGGATGGGCTAAATGGGTGATGGGCATTAAGGAGGGCACTTGTTGGGATGAGCACTGGGTGTTATATAGAAATGATGAATCACTGGTTTCTACTCCTGAAACTGATTGTACACTGTATGTTAGCTAACTTGAATTTAAATAAATAAATCAATTAAAAACAAAACAAAACTAAAAAAAATAAATGGCATTTGGAAAACTGGACAGCTACATGTAAAAGAATGAAACTGGATCATTATCTGATACCATATCCAAAAACAAATTCAAAATATATTAAAAGACTTGAATTTAAGACCTGAAACCATAAAACTCCTAGAAGGCATAACTAATTTGACACTGGTTTTAGCAATACTTTCAGGGAACAATTTCCTAAGACGAGGGCAACAATAGCTCATATATACAAATGGGATCACGTCCAACTAAAAAGCTTTTGCACAGTCAAGTAAACCAACTAAACAACACAACAACCTACTGAATGGAATCATAATCCTGTAAGTGGTTAATATCCAATATATATAAAGAACTTATACAACTTAGTGTAACTCCTCCTACCCCCAACAATCTGGTATTGAGCACAGGACATGAAGAGATTTTTTTTTTTTCCACAGAAGACATAGAGATGTCTAAAAGACACATGATAACATGCTCAACATCATTAATCAATAGGCAAATGCAAATCAAAGCCACAATGAGATAGCCAATTTGATGGCTGTGAAGTGTTATCATGAAAAATACAAAAACTAACAAGGGTTGATGAGGACGTAGAGAAAAGGGAACCCTGTGCAGTGTTAGTGGGAATGTAAATTGAAGCAGACACTATGGAAAACAGTACGGAGTCCTCTCAAAAAAATTAGAAGTAGAAATAGCAGAGGAATCACTAATTCCACTTTGGGGTATTTATTTGAAAAAAACAAGAACACGAATTTGAAAAGTCATATGCGCCCCTATGTTTACTGCAGCATTATTTACACTAGCCAAGATATGGAAGCAAGCTAAGGGCCTACCAATAGGTGAATGTATAAAGAAAAGGTGTGTATGTAAATATATACACACACATATACATTTTGTAAATATATATACCCCCTCCACCCACCCACACACACACACACACACACACACACACACACACACACACACAATGGAATGCAAGTGAACCATAAAAAAGAATGAGATCTTGCCATTTACAATAGCAGGGATGAACTTACAGGGTATTATGCTAAGTGAAATAAGTCTGACAGGAGAAGACAAATGCCCTATAATTTCACTTATATGCAGAATTTAAAAAAATAAAACAAATGAACAAAACAAAGCAGGACACACAGATACGGAAAACTGTTAGCTGAGTGGGGAGAGATTAGGGTGTAGGTGAAATAGGTGAAGGTGATTAAAAGGTACAAACTTCCAGTTGTAACATAAATAAGTCATGGGGGTGTAAAGTACATGTTACACTGTAATAATTTTGCATGGTGACATGGTAACTGGACATCATGGGGATTTCTTAATATATAAAAATTTCTAATCACTATGACATATACTGAAGACAATAGGAAAGTGCATGTCAATTATACTTCAGTAAAAAAAGGAGACTTAACAGAAGTAAAAAAGAAAAATACTCATAAATCCTTTGAGTGAAATGCAGAGTAACATAAAAAATAATTAAGAACTAGTTTGTTTTGGCACTTGGGCAGTTCACATGGATAAGATTGCAGGCTAGAGTCGAGTCCAAGATACGCCAGGTATTAACCCATTAGTCAGTGGTTTGTGAAGAGTCTGGGAATCTGAGTGGCTACTGGGGACTATTCACCAACCACAAAAATAGTTTAATGTTCAACTGGCAGGAGCGTATTTGTGTATCCTGGGTATCTCAAAAAATGGCATCTCTTCTTTTAGGTACATATTTACACTTCAGTGTAAGTTTACCAGCAATTATCAATCTGTTAATGCTGAATTTACAGAGACACAAAAGATTTTCCCTTAAATCATTTGAAAGAGAGATTTCTTCAGATATTTGCAGTCAAAGAAATTGAAGAGAAATTAATAAATCTAAGTGTGGAAGTGCTATTTTATATGTTAGAATGTTTTGAAAGGCAGCAAAAACCAAGAGGGGAAACTGTAATGAACTTTTTTTTTCTAATTTTTGAGCGAGAGAGAATGCATGCACACACACATGCACACACGCAAGTGGGGGGAGGGCAGAGACAGGGAGAGAGAATCCCAAGCAGGCTTTGTGCCATCAGTGCAGACCCTGATGTGGGTTTCAAAACTCATGAATGGTGAGATCCTGACTTGAGTTGAAATCAAGAATTGGACCCTTAACCGACTAAGGTGCCCAGGCACCCTCTCCCAACTTTGTTTTAATGAACTAACTCTTAGATGGTAGGTTGCAAACCTTTAGATGGTTATTTTTAGGTTCTTAGTGATGTGGGAAGGGGATGATGGTGGTGATGTGGAGAGGTAAACACCTAGGTGTAAATTGGGAGAGAATTTTGATATTTGAAGGTTACTGTGTTGGATGATCAGGTAATTTCTTGCCGATTAATAGATTAATGGTGAGTTCCACTTCTTAAAACAGGTTTATGATAGCCTAGTGATTCCAATCATCCATTCACTTGGGTAACTGATATCTTGGCCCACCACAGAGAAGCCTGATACGCAGAGTACCAACAGGACTGATAACAATCAACAAGTCACCTGAAGAAAGAAACGCTTTAAATGGATTTAGTACTGGCACCTGGTCAGCTCAGTAGGTTAAATGTATGACTTTTTGGTATCAGCTCAGGTCATGATCTTGCTGTCCATGGGATTGAGCCTCACATTGGACTCTGTGATGACAGCATGGAGTCTGGGATTCTCGCTCTTCCTCTCTCTCTGCCCCTCCCCTGTATATTCTCTCTCTCTCACAATAAATAAATATTGAAAAATAAATGGGTTAACATTAAGCACGAGTCATTAATTATCTACTGCTTCGGTTACTTCTTAATTCTACAAACTGACTACTGTACCCACAGTTCTAGGCCACTGATTACATTTCCCTTTCTTTGTTTACTAGGGTTTACCAGGGGGTGCAGATACCCGGAAGATGTGCAAGGTAATTTACAGAAGTAAGAATATACTCGAGCACTTATTTACATGTATATTTCTGATTCCCTTTTAGTGTTTATTCTGTTTATGTACCTTTTTGTTTCAATGATAAGGGTTAAATATTCACAAGGATTGGGGACTACTGGAAAGTAAACACTGTCCCCAAATGAATTCAAAGACCTTTTCTAAAATGGCTCTTTATAGAGTCCCAAAATGGACATACTCCTAGCACTTTCACTAGATCAACGCTAAATCATTACTGTATTTTCCCAGGTAGTCTCCAGACTATAATTATTTACCTTTCGAAGAGTCTCCATTCTTGTTTGCTGAGACAAGAAACATCCTTGTTTTTGGAATGCATGTGAGTGCAGCACAGGGCATGTGCTGAGGTCTCACACAGTAGAAGGCTACTTGCTCTTGAGTATCCAGGTATGCACATAGCTCAGTGCTTGAGTTTAAAACCAGGGCACAATCAGTATTGACAGGGGAGGTGCCCCTGGCAATCTGGCCTGTGAAGATCGCCCTGTCATAGCCTTGGTTCCTTGCCTCCAGAGAGCCGACACTCCTTCCCTGGGGTGGATGAGCAGAAGAGACAGAGATACCCGGCCTTCCCAGGGTGAAGCTGTCAAGATGCCATTGTTGAACTCTGTCGCCTTTCCTGAAGCACCTGCCTTCAGATCTGGGGAGGACATCCTGGCCTCAGGAAATCCCCACCATACATCTTCCTGTGTCCCAAGTGGCCCCTTACTTCCAGAAGGAGGTCTAGCTGATCCCCCCGGCAGTAGGCGTCTCGAGGGTGAAGGACAGTGGCTCTGCTGTGTGCAGCACTGGTGGTGGTGTTCACGTAGGTGAAAGGTCTGGGTGGGATCAGCTGGTCTAGTTTCTCCATGATTCCCTTTATTCTCAGCTCAGTCTCTGCTGATCAAACTACTGGATGCAGTGGTACTTCAGGACATGAAGGCTTCATGATAAAACTCCAGTGATAGTGGGAGATGGGCATCTTAAGTGTAGTCCATATCTGAGGTGATAATGAATATAATAAAGAACATAGACAATGTCTTTATGTAATATCATCATTTTTGGTAGGCTAGCCAACTTCGATCTTTTATAGAATAAGAGCAGATGCAAAACCTGAAATAAAATGATATGGAGATTTTATTATCATGTATGTTTCATGGGAAAAATAAGTTTCCTCAAATTTGGTGGTGGAACTGCACGTTTCACCAGCTAATCTATTTTGGGTTCTAGGATCTTCTTCCCTAAAGTGGTGATGATAAAATACACTTTTACTGGGGCACCTGGGTGGCTCAGTTGGTTAAGCATCTGACTTCAGCTATTCTGAACTCACAATGTGAACAATCTGAACTCAGCTATTCTGAACTCAGTTGGTTAGGCATCTGAGTTCAGCTATTCTGAACTCACAATTTGTGAGTTCAAGCCCCGCTTCAGGCTCTGTGCTGACAACTCAGAGCCTGGAGCCTACTTCAGATTCTGTGTTTCCCTCTTTCTCTGCCTCTCCCTCACTCTTGCTCTCTCTCTCTCTCTCTCAAAAATAAATGACCATTAAAAAAATTTTTTTTTAAATACACTTTTGCTGGGCAATTGTGAAGACAGGAAAAATTGTTTTTTAACTGCAGAGCACACAATTTTTATTGCTGTTTTATTATTTAATCTTAAAGCTAGAACTCAGTCATTAAAAATATTCTTAAGAAAATGTTTAAGATGCAGGGGGATTTTATGTAAGATATGATTTTTTTTCTGTTCTTTTATACTCTGCTTAAACATTTTGTGATATTTATTAGTATTTTTCATATTGTTCTAGTTAGGAGATAATCAACATAGGTTTATAAAAATATCTATTTTCTAATCATAAAATACAACTGATTATTAAAATGCTTTTTTTTTTAGAGTTTATTTATTTTGAGAGAGAGAGAGAGAGAGTGTGGGGGGGCACACATGTGAACAGGGGAAGGAAAGAGACAAGGAGAGAAAATCCCAAGCAGGCTCTGGGCTGTCAGTGTGGAGCCCAACATGGGGCTTGACTCACAGAACATGACCTGAGCTGAAATCAAGGATCAGAAACTTAGCCCACTGAGCCACCCAGGTGCCCCTGAAATAACATTGATTATTAAAAATGGGAGATGTGAAACTGTATAGGGGATATAAATCAGTGATAATTATACCAACCATTGATAATTATTATTAATCTTATGGTGATTTTTCTTTCATTTTTCTGTATGCCATTTAAAATGATTATGAACAAATTAAATAATACCAATGAATTTTGATTTAAAAATAGTATTGTTAAAAACTTCACCTTATGTCACTGGCTCATATAGTATTCCAGCCTATGGATACAACTTAACAGTTTACCTATTTCCATCTTTGTATTTTTATTGCATTCAACTTTTATAATCCTGTGAAGAACACTTTTGGTATAAATCTTTGCAATCCAAGTTATTTGCTGAGAACTCAGAAACAGAATTATTGGTCCAAGGTGGTGAATACTGTTAAAGCTCTTAACACATGATGGCAAATAGTTTTCCAGAAATGTGGTGCTAATTTGTGCCTGAAGGAGAAGTGAATGAGAATTGTAGTCTTACAACAAGCTTTCGACACTGGCTAGCTCAATTTTAGAGATATTTACCTGGATTAAAACCTAACTCTGTCACCCACTAGTTACACAATCTTGGTTAAGTTTGTTAACTTCTCTGTTCGTCAGTTTCATCATCTAAAAAACTGAGTCATAAAGATACACACCTTATATGTTATTTTATTAATGGACTAACATGAAAAACATTGGGAATGGTACCTGGTACACACTAAGTGTTTGTATTACCATCCCTGGTATTTGATAAAAATGCTTTTATAAAGAAAAATATCAACATATCAAATAACAAAATGATAATCATAGTAATTATAGTAATATCTCACAATTTTCAATAAAGGCAGAATAACTTGTGTTAGACCAATTCTGCAGATAACAATAAACCAAAAACAAAGAAAATCCTTCCCATAGCGCTAGAGAGTTACCACTAGCAGGTTGACACTGGAGGGAAGTTGAAACTTGGAATAAGGAACAGCACTGGGCTTGCATTGTAAGGGGTGCTAACTCAAGTTCTTCAAACAGAAGGGAAATTCAACCAATAGAAACATGGATATTCTGGAAGGAATGAAAAACACCAGAAATGCTAACAATAAGGATAAATATAAAATTCTAAATGTTTGTCTCCTAATTTCTTTAAAATGAATGTAATTATTATTATTTTTTAAAAGTTTTTTCTTAAGTTTATTCATTTATTTTGAGAGAGAGAGAACACGAGCACAGCAGAGGGCGAGAGAGGGAATCCCAAGCAGGCTCTGCACTGTCAGCACAGAGCCCAATGAGGGGATCCATCTCATCTACCATCAGATCATGACCTGAGCTGAAACCAAGAGTCAGATGCTTAACTGACTGAGTGCCCCAAAATGTTTGCTTATTTTTGAGGGAGAAAGAGCCCAAGCTGGGGAGAGACAGGGGCACAGAGGATCCAAAGCAGGCTCCATGCTGACAGCAGCCAGCCTGATGCGGGGCCTGACCTCACAAACTGTAATTTCATGACCTGAGCCAAAGTCGGATGCTCAACTGGCTAAGCTACCCAGGCACCCCTAAAATGCATGTAATTATTTAAAGTAAAAACCAATTTTGTCATAATATGAAAACTACAACATAAAGAATGGGGAGATGAGTCAATGGAAGTTAATAGTTGAAAGGTTATTACAGATTACATGAAGTAGCACGATATTAACTATAAAAGAGTGTATATAATAATACCTACAGGAAACACTTAAAAAAAAACCTTATAGCTGTAAAAATAATAAAGAAACTAAAAGGAAATTCTAAAAAAATTCAATTCATCCCAAAAGAGGAACAGAAGGGCCAAAGAGAAAACAAACAGCAAGTTGGTGGATTTAAATCTAGTGATTAATTTTATTAACAGTAAATTGCCTAGGGCACCTGGGAGGCTCAGTTAGTTCAGCTTCTGACTCTTGATTTTGGCTCAGTTCATCATCTCATGGTTAGCGATTTCAAGCCCCACATTAGGCTCTGCACTTACAGCATGGAGTCTGCTTGGAATATTCTCTCTCTCTCTCAAAATAAATAAATATAAACATTAAAAAACCAGTAATTTGACTAAGCATATTTTTTTTAATTTTTATTTTTAAGTAATCTCTACATACAATTTGGGTTTGGACTCATAGCCCCAGGATCAAGAGTCATGTGATCTATTGACTAAGCCAGCCAAGTGTCTCTATTTGCTGTCCAACAAGAATGTAGGTTAAGTATGAAGTTATCTACAGACTGGAAGTGAATGGATGGAAATTAATATACCATTTAAGCATAAAAAAGCTAATATTAAAATAGACTTCAAGACAAAACATGTTACCAGACATAAAGATGGACATTTACAAGTGGTAAGAGTCAATTTGCTAGAAACATAGGAATCATAAGTGTGTATGTGCCTACACATCCATGTATTTATATGTGAAAAAAAAAATGACAGAATTCAAGGGACAGATCAAGAAATTCACAATAATTAGAAACTTAAAAACCTATTTTAGTTGCTATAGGAACTAGATAAGAAATAAATAATAAACTAGAAGATAGGAACATTATCAGAGTACTTTCTTAATCATCAGATATTATCAGATAATTCTCAGAATTTTTAATTGTTATAACTTCAAATAAAAAATTTAATTTTTAGTATGATAGAATTATACTCTGTGCAAAAAACTTGTTGGTGAAAATAAATAGGAAACTCCTGATTCAAGAAGGAGGACAAGGGATATATTATAGCCTCAATTTCCCACAGAATGAAAGACAGAAAAATAAAAAACTTAAAACTTTCTAAGTATTCTTGGAAATAGGAAGAGGTACCTTAATTAGACCATAATTTATAAGAAGTCTGAAAAAGAGGGGGGCTTGGCTGGCTCAGTCAGTAGAATACATGACTCTTGATCTTGGGGATCCTGAGTTCAAGCCCCACATTGGGTGGAGAGATTACTTAGAAAGAAACAAAGAAACAAAGAAACAAACAAAGAAATGTCAACAGTAAAAGGCAGGGAAAGTAAAAGGCAGGGGAGATTAGATCAAGGAAGAAAACCATGGCTCCAAATGCATGTCAGTGAGAGTTCTGCAGAAGATGGAAACCACTTCAGGGCTACTACAAACCTGGAGGAAATTGATGATTGGATTAAGAGGTGGTAAAGGAGTGGCCCATAGGAGGAGTATTGGGATGGTTAATACTTCCCTATTTTTCCCCTTGTGCATGGCCAGGCAGATAGAAATGGGAACTTTTGTACTCTACTGTGAGTAAAAGCTATAGATATTTAAGTTTGAGGATGCAGGGTAGGACCCTGCATGTGTGGCAACACCCTAGACAAATGCAGAGCATTTATTGCCTTGAGTACTTTCTGCAGCTGAGCTACAAACACGCTGGAGAAAATAGGTAACAGTACTCAGAGGCCTGGCCACCACAGAATCTTAAGTATAAGAATGTACACCCAGCCAAGAATTAGTCAAAATTTTATGAAAGCCAACTCATGAAAGAAAAGGTATTAAGTTCAATAAAGAGAAAACAAAGTAATAGAAACAGAAAAAGCAAAACAAGACTTTAAAGCAAGTATATTTCTATCCTCAGAGAAATTCCAGGTGATCTTTGCATCCATAAATTAATGAATCAGAGACCATGGAAAACAAAATCTTGTTGTTCAATATGCAAAAGTCAACTGTATTCCTTTACATCAGCAACAAGGAATTAGAAAATGTATTTAAAAAACACTATTTAGGGGCGCCTGGGTGGCGCAGTCGGTTAAGCGTCCGACTTCAGCCAGGTCACGATCTCGCGGTCCGTGGGTTCGAGCCCCGCGTCGGGCTCTGGGCTGATGGCTCAGAGCCTGGAGCCTGTTTCCGATTCTGTGTCTCCCTCTCTCTCTGCCCCTCCCCCGTTCATGCTCTGTCTCTCTCTGTCCCAAAAATAAATAAACGTTGAAAAAAAAAATTAAAAAAAAAAAAACACTATTTACAACAGCAACAAAAAACTTATAAAATAATGCCTAGTTATAAATCTAATAAAAGATATACAAGACATATACGCAAAAATTTTAAAATTTACTGAATGATCTTAAAGACCTAATAAATGGAGAAAGATTACATGGTGCTAAAGACCAAAATAATGTTATGAACATGTCAGTTTTCCCAAGTTGATCTACATGGTTAATATAAGGCACATAAAATTTAAGTAAGATTTTTTCCAGCAAATTTGGCAGACCAACTGTAAAACATATAAAGAGTAAAGGGTCAAAACCAGCCAGGAACATTGTGAACTAGATTAAGCAAAGGTAACTTGACCTACAAGTTTTTAAGAGTAACTATGAAGCAAATTATTATTATATTAATTATAGCAATGCAGCATTGATATGGGGAAGATATATTAGTCAGTGGAGTAGTACAAATGGAGGAGGATCTGTACTTATCAGAAATTTTGATATATGACAAAAAATGTCTTGACAAATCAGCAGTGAAGAAAACTACCACAAAATAAGAACGGAAAAGCTGATCATCCATAAGGAAACAAAAATCAGCCAAGAAAAAAACTCAGATCCGTCACAGGATTAAATGTCTAAAGCAACCTTTAAAGGTTTAAATAGAATATTTAGATAAATAATCTGACACCGAAATAGGGAAGGGTTTCTTAATACTCAAAAAGAATCAGCTGTTTATAAAGGCGGATTTTACTATATTTTACTATATCAACATGAAAAGGTGTTGTGCAGAAATGTCATTAAAGAAATGAACAAACAAGCTACACATGGGAAGAAAATGATCACAGATGTGTATGTAAGTGACAGAGGAAGAATGTGTGCATGCGTGCACGCGCATACACACACACTCTATTATCATCTCCTGTGCTGCGTAATGGTTACCAAACATGTTAGTTCTTCAAGGTTGTGTAAGCTTTTCAAATTCCCTTACTACGATGTATAACTCTGGTTGTTTGGACTTTCCTAGAACAGGTGAAGTAGGAAGTAAAATTATACTTCTGTTAAGACACAGAAAGAGATTCCATTGTGGAGTGTTGGAAAACTGTAAACGTGATCCAGGAGGCAAATATAAACAGTACCAACAGTAACTTACGATTTTTCATACTTGTCATGATTAGGATCCCACAAGAGAGAATACAAAACAAACATAGGCAGAAAAGAAATGCAGAAACACATTAAAAATGTCTAACTCCTGATTCTTTTGTTCTAAGTTTCTACCAGCACAGAACCCTGCCTCCCTCCCACCCCAGCATCTCTTACTATCCCGCCAACGGCCACCTTTGGCTATCAACTTGTCCCTTCAACTGAAGCGCTATTCTGAGACATGAGAGCCCACCATGGACTCTATGAAACTGAGCTGTTAATGGCCGGTAAGATGCAGGATTGCTAATGTTGAGGTCAAGTCTCCTGGCTAGTTTTTCACCTAACAGGTTTATTATACTCTTCCCTTAAACACAAAATGTAGACACAGAACACCTTGGCAAATGTTGACCGTGATCGTCATGTTATCCCCGGGCCCTTTTAATATAACTTGATTTTCCCAGCATCTTTGTTATAATTCTTATTACGTTCCTTATTCTTAACTAGCCTTTTTAGTATCACTGAAGATTGAAAAGATTTTAAAACTTACATTTAAAAACTTCAATGTTTTTCCATTGTCAACATCTTAATTTCTGTCTTTGTGCAAGAACTTCAAGTTGTATTTTAAAAGCATACTGCTTAGTGGTTCTTGGGTGGCTCATTTGGTTAGGCGGCTGACTTCGGCTCAGGTCATGATCTCATGGTTGATGAGTCTGAGCCCTGCACTGGGCTCTCTGCTGTCAACACAGAACTCACTTCGGATCCTCTGTTCCCATCTCCCTCTGCCCTTCCCCCACTCCTGCTCTTGCTCTCTAAAAAATAAATAAGCATTAAAAAAAAGATTGCTCGAGTGCTTCCTTTCTAAAATTTTCCATCTTTCAAATGACTCTCCCCTAGAAACACCTCCTATCCTAGATTCCCAGTTTATACATAGACATTAGAAGTTTGGATACCCAAGAAAAAATATTACCTTTTCCCTCACCTGCACAGTTGTGAAAATGTTTTCATACCTTTAAAGATTGTGTTTAATATACATAGGAACTACCATAAGCTGAGTGTTGAGGCTTTGTTCTGAAGCCACAAGAGTACAACTGGGGTGCATCTCCTCTGCGCCAAAAGAAAACACAGGCCAAGTTGCCTGCAGGCTTTTAACTTGGAAACACAATCTTCTGCTTATTTCAGCAAAGCTATCCGGCATGCCAACTCCACCTTAAGGGGGTGTCTGAATCACAAGCTGTGGTTATCAGTTCATGCAGAATGGGGGAGGAAAAATGAAATTCTTCGAATAACTTTAATGTCTTTAGACTTCATTAGTCTAGTTATAGTACATACACAATAAACACCTGACGAAGTAAAGAGTGGATTTCACTCAATGTTTCTTCACCTGAAAAACTGTAACTGCCTAGTTGCCATCTGAGCCTTGTCATCAAGAACCCAGTTGCCAGGATTCAAGTGCATACTATCTTGTACGTTGTAGGTACTCAAAATTTGAATTGAACTGATGGAACCTCAAATACAATGTAGGCAAGACAATGATATTAACTCTCAGAACAACAGCGTAATAGCTTACAGTCATGAGTTTGAATCCATCTGGGATTTGGATTCTTAAATTCATAGAAATGGTGCCAGAAAGAGCAGGTACCCGAGGCAATTGTACCAGTGCCCATAGAAAGCAGTAGCTGATTACACTGTGGATCCCTCCACAGTCTCATTTGTGCTGTCCCACACAGGAAGTTAAGCATATTTAAACATGTCTGTTTGTCTATTTAAGAATCAAGATCTGTTTCATAAGCACATAATAATCCTTTCAACATCCTTGATCATGCTTTACTGAACTGGCGTTAAAATACTTCTTTAGGTCTTCACAGGAGGACAGTTGGAGAAGCTGTTTGAACTTAATGTGTATGACTGGGTCCAGGATTGCTCAATTCTGCCCTAGGGACCCTTTAAGAGATAAAGATTTACAGTTCTGGTTTGGTTGCTCCTTAGGAGACTAATGTTAGCAACCATCCAAGTTTACCACCCATTCTAACACACAGATTTATGCATTTTAATTGGCTCTAGTTATATTGATGTTGACATTTAATGTCAACCTGACATTTCTTCCTGAAGCAAGAATAACAGATATGCTGGACTTAACGGAGAGCACAGAAGAGAATTTAAATGGTTTGTCCCGATTATCTAGTATGCTTGCAAACAGAGCTGAGATCAGGATTCCTGTCACTCTGACCTCTGATTTAGAGCACTTGCCAGCACTCAGCATTACTCCAACACGAATGGTATAACCAAGTTCACGTAGATCCTTGTGGTTCATATATTTATTGTCCATTATGCTTAAAAGACTCCCACCCCCTTTAACCACTCAAAAGCCTCATGTGAGCAAGATAAATGGTCCTCTTTATGTGTACTCTCCTTGCAGTTAGTGTGTAGCTTGGTCATTATCTTTGATTGAGTAGCTTCCTTTCCCCTATGTTTATGGGTCTAAATGAGGGATATAAACATGAGAACTCAGCCAGGGGAAAAAAGGGCCATGTATTTGCACAGTAAAATACAAGCAAGTAGATCATCAGTTCTTAGGGGGGTATGAGTAGGGTAAGAGTAGTGCTGGCCAGGATCTAAAAGAGCCCAAGGAAAATGGGCACATTGCCAGCATCAGCCAAGTGAAGAACAGATGTCCAGGGAATGGTCACTGGAGCCTGAGCCACAAGTCAGGGAAATGGCTGCTGTGGCTCCAGCAATCAAACAAGATGTGCCTCATTGCCCAGGTGGCGGTGCTGATAGTAGGAGGGATCCTGTCTGTGGGATCTGAGTGTCCATGGAAGGATGAGAGAAAATGCAAAAACAAAAAAGACTCAGAATTCCTTTTACCTTCATAGGAAACATCTTTCACACTGCTAGTAAATAACAATATAATCATTTGTGTTTGCAATACATGTAATCCAGCTTCATGAAATTTTGACACTTTCTCACATTTTAGAATCCTGTCTGAGAATTTTAGGGGTAAGATAAAACCATCCCAGACACCCTAACATGTTCTAGTGCCTTATGGAGATCTATCTTCTTTTGAAAACTGTCTGCTCATGTCTTCTGTCCATTTCTTCACTGGATTATTTGTTTTTTGGGGGTTGAGTGTGATAAGTTCTTTATAGATTTTGAATATATCTAATATGTCATTTGAAAATATATTTTACCATTCTGTCAGTTGTCTTTTAGTTTTATCAATGTTTCCTTCGCTCGGCAGAAGGTTTTTATCCTGATGAGGTCCCAATAGTTCATTTTTGCTTTTATTTCCCTTACCTCCACAGACACATCTAGAAAGAAGTTTCTGCGGCTGAGGTCAAAGAGGTTGCTGCCTGTTTTATTCTCTAGGATTTTGATGATTTCCTCTCACAGTTAGGTCTTTCATCCATTTTGAATTTATTTTTGTGTATGGTGTAAGAAAGTGGTCCAGTTTCATTCTTCTGCATGTCTCTGTCCAGTTTTCCCAGCACTACTTGTTGAAGAGACGGTCTTTTTTCCATTGGGTACTCTATCCTGTTTTGTTGAAGATTATTGGCCATATATTTTAAAAATCAGTAAGCTTTAAATCTGGAAGCTTTAGAAATTAGTGGGACTTAACATTAGGAGAGCCAGAGGGTGACAGAAGTGGAGTCCTCACCCTTCAAGAGTCAGCATGTGAAAAAGCTTTGCCTGAGACACCACACAAAAGCAGCAGTTGAAAAGTGGGGTGTACATGAAGGAGATTTAGTGACTAATTTTAGAACATGTGCAAGAGGAGCAGGGATTTGTAGGTGATTTGTCCAGGAACAAAAGGGCTGGCAGGTACTTTTTTCTTGCCTTCTGCTAGCCCAGAATGCTGGATGCTTCTAGAAGACAATGATAACACTCTCCATCTACTTTGCTTTCACCATGTGTCCCGCCCTGGGGATTCCCTTATGGACCTGCTTGCCCAAATCCCTCACCTTAGCACATACTCATCCAAAGTGATTACTACCCTGCCACACCCAGCAGGAAGCCCTATCTAGGACCAGCACCCCTCAAAAATGATTCCTGCCCTGGGAAGGGATGGCAATAACCCCACACACCAGCACACCTGTAGTTCCTGCAGCCTTGGCTCTGAGCTGGCTGTGCAGGGTGCTAGCCCTGCCTTTCAGCACACAGAGAGCCAGGCTGAGGGTTGGTTGCACCCACCAGCAAGCCCATGGCAGCTACAGCCAGGCAACTCAGCAGTTACGAACAACCCATGCCCTGTACACCCACAGCAGGTGAAGCGGGTCATTGCAGCCAGTTGGGCTGAGTCAGCCTTACTCACTAGAATGCCCATAGCAACTGAGGGTAAGCCATAACAGGAGAGTGCACACAGCCTAAAAGGAGCACCTGGTTCTAGTTACAAAGGGAGATTGGCTATAGGGCAACACAGGACCTCTTTTACTAAGGCAATTACTTTCAAGACCAGGAGACACAGTTGACCTAATACATAGAAACAAACAGAGATTTAGACAAAATGAGGAGACAAAGGAATGCACCCCAAATCAAAGGGCAAGACAAAAATCACAGAAAAGGGGTTAAGTGAAATAAGCAATATGCCTGATAAAGAGTTCAAAGCAATGGTCATAGAGATACTCACTGGACATGACAAAATAGTGATGGCTCAAGTAAGAATTTCAACCAAGAGATAGGGGGAAAACAGTTAACGTTGAAGAGTACAGTAACTGAAATGAAAAATGGAGGCAATCAACAGAAGCTGAGAGGATGCAGAAGAAGAGATTGGTAATCTGGAAAACTGTATAATGGCAAGCAATCAAACTGGACAGCAAAAAGAAGAAAATAATAAAGAATAGGTTAAGGGAGCTCTGTGACATCATCAAATGTACTAACATTCACATTATAGCAATCCCTATAGACGATTATAGGAAGGAAAAGAGAAAGAACAGAAAATTCACATGAAGAAGAGCTGAAAACTTCCTTAATCTGGGGAAGGAAACAGACATCCAGGTCCAAAACAGATGAACCCCCAACAAGATGAACCCAAGGAGACCCACACCAAGACACATAATAATTATTAGACTGCCAAAGACATGGGATGTTAATATGAACCCCAGTAACCACAAAACAAAAAATAGACACACACACACACACACACACACACACACACACACAAGTAAATAAAGAAATAAATAGATAGATAGATAAATAGATAGTAATTCAAGCACTAACCCTAAAGAAAACCATCAAACCACAGGGGGAGTTAGCTAGAGAGGAAGACTGAAATAGAGAAGAACAACAAAAACTACCGGAAAACAATTGACAAAATGGCAACAAGTACATACCTAAAAATAATTATTTTAAATGTAAATAAACCAAATGCTCCAAACCAAAGACATATGCTGACTGAATGGATGAAACAATGATCCATCTAGATGCTGCTATTCACCTCAGACCTAAAGATATATACAAA